ATATCTCTGGCAAAAGGATTATGCTGGTGACTGACAACAAACTCCTGCTTTTATATACTTGTGTATTTTATACTAATCTCGTTCATCATTGTTTCGCTTTTTTGGGCATTATTTTGCTTTGCTTCAGCTATGATAAAGGTACATCCAGTCCATGCAATGAAGGTTTGTTTAGGCTGATTTCAAATATCAACAGTTAATTGTTTACTGCACTTTTTAACCCCTTAACTGTCACCGTCCCGGTACCGGGACGCCTAACTTTACTTCACTATATTTCTATTAAATCCTAATCTAATTATGACAAATTATATATTTTTGGAAAGGTCTACGACTTCTAATTAAATATTCGACCCCTGTTTTGTGTTAAAAATTATGTAGGAAGAGTAATTAATGAATTTATGACAAGAGTGCACCTAAAAAAATCTGCATCATAACAGGAGATTTGACCTTTGTCACAAAAAGTTGATGCACCCACTTTTAATCATTGAAACTTCTGTTTTTATGCTAAAAGTTCATAAGAAAACATATAATCTAGTATTTTTCAATAAAAAATAAAATTTATAGTATAACATTATCCTCTAAAAATTATTATATATATGTATATATTATCCTCTAAAATACAATAATATTTTTTATCGCCTTTTTTTATTATATTACATATTTTAGTAGTTATCATAAATTAGGTATCATTTGAAAGCTTATAAACTCAGAATTCATCCTGTGAAAACCATTTCATAATTGAACGTTGCTTTACCATAGAAACGGTACTTATTTTATGAGGCTCCTCCCCTTTTGGACATCCTTATATTTCATAATTTATGATCAAAACCTTTTCTAATCTTGACAAAACACATATTGTCAGAAAGGTCTGAGTCTCAAGGTTCCAAATTTTGTGACAAAATTGATATTTGGACAGAAATGTATTAATTTATTAAGGCAGAATGTACACAACTAAATTCAATGGAATTCAATGGCACCCGGTGGCTATTTTTGGTACTACACCTAAACAAAATCTCATGGGAACTTCAATTTTTGTGATATCAACTTCAAATTTGGAACATAACTTGGTTAGATTTATGGCTTTGATTTTATAGTAATTTTAGAGTAAAAATATTTTGTAAAATATATATTTTATATAAAATAAAAAATAAATAGTACAGTATATTTGATTTACTGTGAATTAAAACTTCCATAACTTTTTCATACTTTCATTTTTTGAAATGTTTTCACTTCAGCAATAATCTGCTGAGTGTTTTCTTTAAAACAAGACCAAACTTGGGTATATATTCCAAGGCATTCTTGAATTATAACCATTTAAGTGTGAATAGAGCATTTAACCCCCATTCTCAAAAAGGGGGGGTGACAGTTAAGGGGTTAAAGAAGTGTTTACAAGTCATTTTAATTATTAGATAATGCGAACTAGTTATCTAATGTTAAATGTAGTGTTCTAAGTGTTACCATAATCTATTTTCCTGAACAAAATCTGCTCTGGATCAGGTTAGGCGTGCAGGGTTTGTTTTTTGTTTTGTTTTTTACCACGGTGATGAAAATTGTTTAAAAAAAGATCTACATTCAAAGCCAGAGTTCGCTCAAACTGATCTGAAGCGTAATTGAGAAGCCACTTAGCCTGCCTCTCGAGACCTCAGATTGCTGCTGAATGCTGATGGTTGTTGCTGCTGCTGTATTTATGTGTATGTATGGCATACTAAATATGCTATCTGGAAAGATAAAGCGTCTGGCAAATCTGTTTGAAAACTATTTTAACAATTCCGGCCTGTGTCTGTTGTGGTGCAGTAATTACATCACATTTAAAGACCGTATAGAAGTCGTATTTCAAGTAAACACCAAATAAAAGCTAGTTTGTAAATGCTTTAAATTGACAATAGCTGAGAGGTCAAAAGTTTTGATCTGTCTATCTCAAACCAACAGCAGCTGATAACAACAGAACTGAATGTGATGCTGGAAATCATGGAAATTGGTCATGTTTAGGGTTGGGTATCGAGAATCGAGTATCGATTGGAACCGGGACTAACTTTTCGTTTTTCCCGGAATCGTTCAAAAGTTAAAATTTCGATTCCTAGTTTCGATATTCACTGTCCGCCGAGCGGAAGAAGAAACCGCTGAACAACACCAACGAAGAAGCGTCTACCGGAAGTGTTGGCATAATCACGCGAGTCGAACATGAGTACCTTACGTCGGCGATCCAAAGTGTGGCTTCACTTTTCTAAAAATAACGAAATCTCGGCAAAATGCAAAATTTGTGACAAAAGGAGTATTTTTACAGAAGGAGTATTTCCCTCAGAAAGGTTTATTTCCTTCAGAAAGGCCGTTGGTTAGCAAGGTTAGCTAAACTTTTTTGACCCTGCCTCTTAAAAGAATCGGAATCGAGAATCGTTAGGAACCGGAATCGAAACAAGGAATCGGAATCAGAATCGTTCAAATTCAAACGATACCCAACCCTAATCATGTTAAAGGTGCAGTGTGTGATTTTTAGCGACATCTAGGCCACTGCTCACCCCTCCCCTTCGAAGAAGCTACGGTGGCTAAAACGGGACAAACATACAGCCAGAGTAAGCCAAGAGTGTGTAACATTGTCACTGTTTCTGTACCACAGTCCATTATAAACCACATCATGGATAAAGTTTACAAAGATCTAGGGTCTTAATATATAATATAATAATAGTAATCAGCTGATTGTCTCACAAACATAACCAGCACATTTATCCCCACATAGCACAGCGAGGGAGACTAAGTTTCATGAAACAATCCAACTACATATTTTACACCACTGACAAGGAAAACGTCACTACTCACGGTGTCAATGGCTAGCTTCGCAGAAACATGACGTTACAATATGTCGACCTTCATAGAAGGGGGTGCCCGCGGTAATGTAGATACAAATGTCTCATTCTAAGGTAATAAAAACATTATGGTTTATTAAGTAAGTTCTGAAAACATAGCTATGGACGTCATATTGCATTTCTGTTAATTTTGACACATTGCACCTTTAACTCTGTTGATTCACTATTTAAACAGTTCATTAACTGACAAACTAAACCAACCGGGAACCAAAATATTTTTACCCCTGCTTTCCCTGCAGGTATTTCTACCCAACATCCGCTAATTAGCTCATCTTAAACCAAGGAGGCCAAGCTGATTAATTAAAGCAGGTGTGTTGAACAAGTAACTCAAACGCGAAAGCCTCATTTTAATAACTCTTTACAGCAGTCGCCCGACGGCATCTTGTCTTGATGCTGTTGGTCTTCTCGTGAGACTTGTTTCGAATTGAAATACAGCACAACATTTCTCATGTAAAAACAAGAATTCTGATGGCTTGATACAAGATTCATGGATATGTCCTGAAGTGAAATGTGCTAACTCAACTCTTTGATTTTAACCAGTCTACTGTGTACCTGTGTAAAAGATAGTACTTTCATTGTATTAGCACATTTCCCTTTTTTAAATGTGGAATGAGAACTTTAGTCGAAAGCAGATGACCATGTTCAAAACTGACTTGCCAAAAAAAAAAAAAAAAAAAACTGTGCCTCTATGGGTATCATGCTGATTTGCAATGGGGAAGCAATAAGTGTGTCATATTGCATTTCATTCACTCTGAGGAGCGGAGAGTCCCTAAGCTGATTATTGCTATATCATTACTTCTCCAGAGAGACGCTTCAGAGACTGGATGAAGTTTGTTACTGTAGTAACATTTATCTCATCTGTCGTTGCAGTAAATGAGTGATGGGATGTGTGAAATCTTTCCTAGAAGATCTGTCCAGTCAGAGTTTTTATTTTTATTTTTTTTTTACACTAACTACACACATTGATTTATCTAGAGATGCACATCTACTTAAGAGACAAAATTTACCCGCTGGTTCTGAGTGTCTGAGGATCAATAATGTAATAAAATACACATTATTGGAATTTTTTAATAGTTTTATTGCTATTATTACAGACAAAACATACACAATATCAATCCCCCAAAATAAAATAAACTAATAAAAATTTAAAACGTCAACAGAAGTTCCTTCTGCTCAGCAAGCCTGCATTTATTTGATGAAAAATGCAGTGAAATGCTAATATTGTGAACCATTTTTATATTTGAATACATTTCGAAATTAAATTTATTCCTGTGATGTAAAGCACAATTTTCCGCATCATTACTGTGTCACAGCACTGTAAAAAAAAAACTATTTTCAAGATTTGCTATCACAACATATTTTCTTTTGTCAAATAAACTTTATAATAATTTATTTAGTTGAGAACTTATTATTTTGAGTTTCTGATGGTTAAATTAATCTCCTTCATTGTTTTAACTCACTTTTTCCAGTTCAATCAACTGAAAATTTTAAGGCAACCCAGCTTACTTACTTTTTTAAGTTAAACCAACAATATTTTTTTACAGTGTAGTAATCATTTTTTCTTTTGTCAAATCAACTTAATTTATTTAGTTTAGATAACATATAATTTTGATTTTCTGATGATGAAATCATTCTCCTTCATTGTATTAACTCACTTTTTCCAGTTCAATGAACTTAAAATTTTAAGGCAACCAGGTTACTTACTTTAAGTTAAACCATCAATATTTTTTTTTTACAGTAAGGATCCTACAGAAATCATTCTAATACGCTGATTTGATGCTCAAGAAAAATTCTGGTTTCAACAGAACCAGCACATTCATATTTGTGTTGTGTTAGTCTATATTAGTCATATTTGCATTCATATTTGTGTTGTTAGGCTAACAGATGCCATTTACATGAAGTCTCTTTAGATAAAAGCATTTGCTGACTGGAAACATTTGAGTAGTAGATCACAATAGAGAGACAGAGAGTTGATAACTGACTTCAAATTAACCTAAGAGGAAAATTGTCTGTGCTTTATAATAAACCGTCTGGAGAATTTAACCCCAGCACTCGCGTGTTTTTCCTCTTTTTCTTTCTCTCTCTATTCCTTTGTGTCTTTCATAACATAACATTCTGTTTCTTTATGCTCTCTTCCTTAAGGACATCCCGAAAGTTCCCCGGATCACAACAACAAGTAAATTGCCTTTGAGCAGTGCGGTAATGAGGAGAGAGAGCACAGGACCGAAAGACTGCCAGATGGTGAAGGTAAATCTTTAGTGCCCCTTATACTCTAATGGCCACTTCCTTACCCTTTGGACTAAATGGGACGACTTATGTTCATTGCATCTTTGTGTATCCCTTAGCCATTTAAGATCATTTACAACTTTGCATTCAATTCCGTTCGAGAATTAGCTTTGAGGCCTCCCTCAGCAGTTTTTGTCCTGATCAATGGTATATTGAGCCGCTGCTGTTAGATCCATGACAAAATATCGCTGCTCCATTCAGTGCGTAATTTCTGTCCCTTTACGGCAGCAAAATGGAACCAATAATAATGATTGTTTTAAAAAAGTAAAAAGCTACTATTTTGTGTTGATCTGGGTCGAGAACACAACAGTAACCGTTCTGTCTCCCTCTTCACCGTAAAAACGTTCTGGATGAATTTTAAGTGCATCATTCTGTATCCAATCATTTGGCCGGATCCTGTGATTTCCTCAGATTTAATAACCACTAGTGGTTGAGGAGAGATTCTCTGATAGTAAAGTGCTTTGAGTGTAGGCTTAGTATACACACACCGTGTGAAACACTTGCTCTGTACCATTATGAATGTCTGTGTGTGCAGCAATGTGAGACAATGGCAAGCACACACGCAGCTACGGACAACCTGACATCATGACTTTTGCGTGAACATACACGCCACTTTCGAGTCAAGTGGCGTGTTATCTATATGCATTTTGAGCTATCAGTGTGTATGCGTGTATGTCTACGCCATTAATGTCCGAGTGATTCCGTGTGTCTGTATACGCCGTCAAATGTCTGAGCAAAACGAAGCAAAATGTGGATCTACATCTGGGGAGCGATCTTTTTTTTTTTTTTCCTAGGATGGTAGGGGAAGACTCATAAATGGTATTAACCCCAGTGACGGGTAGGTTTAAGGACAGCGAGCCCCCAAATTTATATATCACTGTATATATAAATACGTAAGTCATGTATTTATATATACAGTGATAACGTTAAGTCAACGGCGTTCATAAACACGCTGAAAAGCGATTATGCGTGTTGATAGCATACCAAAAATGGAAATACGAATTGGCGTGTCATACACACGCTACTTCATTAGATCAGTCTGCTACGGAAGACTGTATTCTCGGACTCTCGAAATGTTTCGAATTAAATCTAGAAAGGTTTCGACTTTAATCTAGAAATGTTAGATTTTATTTTATTTTTTTTACGTTGCGGTTCAGGGCTTCCGTAAGTGCACTTGGGAAGTCAAACATGGCAGTTCGACTTCCCAAGTGCATTTCTTTACACACACACGCACGCGCTCAATTTGGGGGCTCGTCCGGGATTTGTCACACTTCCATAGAAGTGTGTGGACTTATGAATGCACACACTTCTATGGAAGACTTTATTATCGTAATGTTTTGACTTTATTCTCGAAACGCTTCGACTTTAATCTCTAAATGCTAGATTCTTTTTTTTTAACTTTATTTCACATTTTTGTGTACTATCGTGCTTGCTTCTGGCTCACCTGTTATCCAGCATACACGAGGAGTGACTGTGTGAGCCTCAGGCGAATATTCTTCGGCAGAATTATTCGTTATTCTTTTTGAAGCCATTGTCCTAGCTTGATCTCTGGTCGTCATCAGTTGACACATGATGGGGGTTCCTGTATTCTGGAAGGTTTGAGACGGTGCTACACAGATATCAGCATGGCAGAGAGCAGAACTGTAAGCGAGATACATCTCAATGACTGCTGACATGAGCTTATCAACTATAATGACAGCATTGTGTGTGTGTGATTGCGAGTAAGTGACTGTGTGTGTGAGAGAGAGAGGGGAAGATAGCCACGTGAAGAAGAGATAGGAAACAAAGAGAGGGAGAGAGACGGGATCCCAGGGAGAAGGTGTCATATTCGGTAGATGACATGCCATGAAGATTGTCTAATGAAAATGTTCCCGAAGCAGATCTCACTCTGCTGATGGTCCTGATGACAGCAGTGTGACGGAAGTGAGATAAAACACATTACTCTGACTTCTCCGAGTAAGAGAGCCATCTTATCATGTATGAATGCTGCTCAATTTTCTTTCTTACTAAAGACCAAGTCATTTATCATAGAGTAGTGTGTGTTTGAAGACCAGTTTTTTATTATTATCATTATAAATAATGTTTTAGTGTGTGGTTTGGTTTTCTTTTGCCTCATGATCAGGTTCTCTGACTTGATTTGAAATGATCAAAGAGTATCTTGAGCTTCGATGGAAGAACAACAGCTGACTGACTGTACAAAGAGTCACATGACCAGTTATTTATCTGTGTTTGTCATCATGTTGTGGTTTTTATTTAGTACTGTGTATAGCACATTGGTCAACGGAAGTTGTTTAATTGTGTTTTATAAATAAAGTGTTTGATTGATTGATGACCAATGTCACGTTTAACTTTATTTATAAACCTATAAATAATGCAGAATCTATAGATTAAAAAAAAAAATGCAAATCCCAGTTTTAATATGTAATGTGACTCGAGCAGATCATCATAAAAGAATCATTTCGGAAGCATCATGTGACACTAAAACTGATAATTCAGCTTTGCCATCACATAAATTGCATTTTAAAATATATTCAAATTGTTTATTTTAAATTAGAAAAATAATTTCACAATATTACTGTTTGTAATGTAGTTTAGCAGCCTTGATGAGCATAAGAGACAGGCAGAATGCAAATGTGATGTCATGAAGGTGCTAATTAGCATATGACGTTATAGAGTGCCGAAGTTATGACGTCACTTTGTAGGCTAAACGCGGAAGTGAGTTAGCATTTTAGCTCTCCCGGTTCCCTCGCTCTTAAGTCTATGGTTTTTCTAAATGGGTTTTTGCTAAATCGCCTGAAATAAGGTGTGTGGTGAACAAAGCCTCTAAATATGACATAAAACACACAGTTATAACCTGCTTGTGGTTTTTTTATTTATTTATTGTGTCTGCTTGTGGTTTTTAAACTTTACATAGGCTTCAAAATATATACATTTTGGATTAACTTGTAAAGATTATCTTGATAGACAAAACGTGTAAGGGTCTCAACTTGAACACAGATCTTATTTTTTGCGATTTTCCAAAAGTCTATGGGGGAAAATGCATAGCTTTCCGATCGAGGGAACCCATGCGCCGCTAACTTCCGAGTTGTCCTACAAATTGACGTCATAACTTCGGCACTCCATAGCAACTGAAAACAGTGGGCATCGGTGGTCCAGATGCTGATATTTGCTACTCGTTTCAACCTCAATCATTCTGAGGAAACGGCACTTGAAGCAGACCTACTGTAGACAGTAAGGGAAAATTAACAAGAGTTTTAGATGGTTAATCTTTATGGCCGATATTTGGCTGACACCATTCTACAGCACTTCCATTAACTTAACCTTCCTGTTGTGAGGGTTGAAAAAAGTTAAACACCGTCTCTTGTGGTCTTGTACTCTTCTATTTAATGTGTTGATCCATAAACATTCTAGCTTGTTTCAGAGCTCCTATAGACACACATATAAAACATTTCCTGGAAAAACGCCATTCCTTGAGCAACATGATTAATCTTTCTTTCTATGCAACATTGTATAATCTCATAGCTCAGGGCTTTTGTGGAAAGTGTGAACCGCAAACAATTACTGTGGCCACAGACTTTTTATTTTAATTTTTTTTTTTCAACCAAGCTGTCATCCTCTCCGCTCTGTGCTCGGTTGTTAGAGGTTTGTTTGCATTTTAAATAAGCGTGTTCTTTTCTGTCTCTCTCTCTCTTTGTACCTTCAGGTGGGAGCAGAATGTTCCAATCAGACCGAGAGTTCATCCGAGATGAAAAAGACATTTGGACACAGTCGAGTGAGTCCTTTTGAAAGTATTAAAGAGAGAAAAATAAAAGTTCTGTCATCGGTTACTCACCCTCAGTTACTCACTTTCCTTCATCTGTGGAACATGAAGATGAATTTGAAGAGTTTTTGTCCATATGTAAAACATCATTCAAAATATCTTCTTTTGTGTTTTCTGCAGAAAACGTTTAAAATTGCATTTTAAAATATATTAGGATTGAAAATGTGCAGAAACTGAAATATTTCTTATTCACTTTACTGTACATCATCATGCGTCTTTGTTTAAAATTAAACTAAACTTATTGTACTATTTTCGGATTTCAATAATTTTTTTTTTTCTTTCAAAATTTTCAATTCAGTTTCCAATGCAAATTTTCCAAAATTCGCATAATACATTCAAATGTATCTCTGAGCCTCATTGTTCCCCATGTTATATACAGTAGGTACTCAAATGGAATGCCTGTTACTGCCGCGGAAAATCCACTGCGGCAAAAATAGAGAGCCTAAGTCCCTCCCCTCCGCTTCCGGCTCATGAGACCTTATTTCGGAAAAAAATATGTATGGTAGTCAATGGCGAGAGACGACTTACCTTTTATTCCGTCTGAACTGTGCCCTGAATTGCACATATGATGTTTGTCAATTTAAAAGATCATTCTGAAAGTCAAAAACGTCGCAGTTTGTCATAAAACAGAAGAGTAACATTTAAGTTTTATGTGAAAATCGTTCAATGAACTACATCTGCCGGGAAGCGAAACAACGAGCGAGATCCGCTGCTCATATGTGTGCAGTCTGGTACAAAACACTCAGGCATGACGGTGAAACGTTACGATTATAACGTAAGACTATAGAAAACATTGACAGATGTTAGCTTCAGTAAAGTTAGCTTCATTCACTGCGAGAAAATGTACGACTTTGGGGTTTGTAGTCTTTGTAATTACGTATTTTCACAGTCTTACACCTCAACAGTTTTACAGTTTTTTTTGTTTGTTTGTTTGTTTTGTTTTTACGAAAGTTTCGGAGGCAGTGTGCTAGCATGATTGACATAACGTGAGGTCGTATTTATTTTTTAACGAACGGAAATTTTGGATTTAATGTGCGATGGTCTTAAGGATGAAATACTACAACTATGGTAATATCCAAATACTGTAAGCCTACTACAAACATGAAAAAATCAAAACAAGAGCTATTGACATTTGCTGTACAATAATGAAACAAACAAAGAGTTGAAACTGTATGTTAAAGTAATCATTTTTTAATTAATTAAAGAAAGACAATTTGGTTAATTTATGCAATTTATAGTATACATAGTATACATGTATGTGTACGAACAGTGCTAACTATTAAATATCTTTGTTTATAGGCTATCTGTTTATTAAAAAACACAGCACAAGGTCTTGTAAAAAAAACAAGAATGAGACTGATTGAATATGGAAACATTTTTCAATTTTCATAAAATAGCCTATATGCTAGAACAGATTCGGTTAAATTTAACGAAAGCAAAACGTAATTATGTAAAAGTAAATTTTAAACATAATTTAAGAAACTTTTAGAGAAGAATATTTTATGACTCAAAAGTTCAAATAGGCATATCTCGCAGTCAGCGAAAATAAATTAGGTGTAATGACGCTAAACTATTGAGGAATGAGTAAAAGGCAGAAAATACACACCCGCAATTTACTTATTCAGGTTGAGTACCAACTATAAGTGAGCTGTCAAGACGCGGTAAGCATAGATGTACACGCACTTGCACAGATAACTATTTGCTCCAGTGCAAAAGAGAAGTGTTAGCCCTGGGCACTCCAGCAAGCGGTGACAGTTTTTGTCAAATTATAGGTCAGTCTGATGCGGAGAGCAAGGTGTAAACGTCTAATCACCGGCTCTGTTTGTGCCAGACGTCACTACCATATGCATGTATTCACTTGTCATCTCTGTTCTCTAGACCCCAGAGCAGATCGGACAAGGTCAAGAAAGGACAGCAGAGGAAATCGGGAAAACAGACGGAGACCTAAAAAAGACACAAATGGACAAACACAACTGAAAGGACAGTGGAAGACTTGGCAGATTTTCTGCATGGTAAAAATGATGTCATATCGGTTTAAGCCCCTCTTCATCACTGAGCTTATAAGCACACACACACTGTAGGCAAACACAAACAACGACAGACACAAACACAAAATGCTCCGTCTAACACTGCTAATGTAGAAAATCAAATTCCCAACATTCGATTTTGAACTTTCTTAATTAAAGAAAAAAAGTAAAGAAAAAACAACAACCACATAGTATGGCATGCATTATAGAGTTTTAGATATTGATTTTACAAGGTTACGATGGTACTGGTGGTTTTTAATAACTGTTATTCTTTTTTTTCTTTTTTTTTCACTATCTATTTTGATTTTTTTTTTTTCTCTCTCTTCTAAATTTAGGACACAATGTTTTTTGATTTGTGTTGTTTGTAATTAAAGACTATTTCTGGCACCGCAGACCAGAACTTCAGTGTTAAAGGTCACGCTGGGGGTCATTTGAGTTCTGTAAATTTACACATGGTCAAATTCCAACTTTCGTCAAAGCAGCTTCTGAAAATATTGAACTATTGAATACTGTATGTCCTGAATGCAAAATAGGGCTGCACGATTTGTGGAGAAAAAAAAACTGAATTGTGAAATTTTTTTTTCTGATAAATTGTGATTTTAAAATGTGATTTTTATTTTACAGTACTACTGTAAATTTACAACAATATTATTTTAGTCTTAAATTTTTCATTTTTCAAACGTTAAACCATCATGCTTTAAATTTTTCAAAAAGAAACCACAGAGAGCCCTTAAAGCATTTTTTTTTTGACAACAGCCGGTTTATAAGCACTTCTCAGTTAGTTTCCCAAAACATCTCAAGTTTGGTGCGTTGCATTTTTTTTAAATGCGACCCAAACTGAGATGAGTTTGTGTGTTAATCGAGCTGAAAACACCAGATCATAAGCTGCTCGCGTGTAAAAGAACACAGTGCTGCGCTTCACTCTGAAACACGCAGTGCATGCACTTATTTAATTCAATCGCAGCCTTTGCTATTAAGCCATATCGCATTATCGTTTTTTATTCCGATTAATTGTGCAGCCCTAACAGAAACCGAATCAATCCCAAGTCAGCTGAAATGACGAAAAGAACTGTTTAACGTGAAGGTACGGTTTGTCTCGTGTTGTAGCAAAGATTAATTTACTCCTCCTGCTCCATATTACGAGGCTCAAGTTGGCTGGCCAACTATCACTGTTGAATATTTCGGAGCTTTTGGTGCCAGAATTAAAGAGAAAAACTCGACTCACAGTGAGTCGTCTCCCTAAGAATGATGTGCCATGCACCGACCGAGTACTTAATCTACTGCTACATCTCTCTGTTTCTCTACCTTCTTGTGTCCTTTACAATAAACCGTGATTTTCGCTAAATGTGTGAAGAATAAATGGTTATTTGTGGAGTAAAACAACCGTGCATTTCCTGCGTCCAGACTCTGATGTTTAATTAACACCTCTGGTGCTTCAAGGACGGCCCTGATATACTGTTAAAGTGCAAGGTCAATAAACTAGATCCCACGGGATCAAGGGGAAGTCCTCGTTGGTGTGTCCTGTACGTGAGAATAATTCAAAGCTTTGGTTCTTAGCTTTTTCAAAGACCTTTGGACCTTTGATCTTCGTCCTTCCTCTCGCTGCCCACCACTTTTCCCTGCTTCTATAAGTTTCTATTCTTTTTTTGTGTCAACACTTGACTGAAAGATATAAAGAGACTAGAAGTTGAGGTGAGCTGAGTCTTGATAGCAGCCTCTTCGTTTTTGGCCTTTATGACAATTAATCAAGGCTTTTGTCCACCTTATGTTGTAGGTTGTTTGTCATATTTACACTTACCCAAAGGATTATTAGGAACACCACTTCAATTTCTCCTTAATGCAATTATCTAATCAACCAATCACATGGCAGTTGCTTCCAAGAGAACATGGATCCACCATGCCTTGTTACCACTGTGCAGGCTGCTGGTGGTGGTGTAATGGTGTTGGGGATGTTTTCTTGGCACACTTTAGGCCCCTTTGTGCCAATTAGGCATTGTTTAAATGCCACGGCCTACTTGAGCATTGTTTCTGACCATGTCCACCCCTTTATGGCCACCATGTCCCCATCCAGCAGGATAATGCACCATGTCACAAAGCTCGAATCATTTCAAATTGGTTTCTTGAACATGGAAACAGTTGACTGTACTAAAATGAACAGTTGACTGTACTAAAATGGCCCCCACAGTCACCAGATCTCAACCCAATAGAGCATCTTTGGGATGTGGTGGAATGGGAGCTTCGGGTCCCACAAATCTCCATCAACTGCAAGATGCTATCCTATCAATATGGGCCAACGTTTCTAAAGAATGCTTTCAGCACTTTGATGATTCAATGCCACGTAGAGTTAAAGGGTTAGTTCACCCAAAAATGAAAATTAAGTCATTAATTACTCACCCCCATGCTGTACCAAACCCCGTAAGACCTTTGTTCATCTTCGGAACACAAATAAAGATATTTTTGATTGAATCTGAGAGCTGGATCAGTCCTACATAGACTGCCTAAGGGACTGGCTCTTGACGGCCCATAAAGTCATTAAAGAAAAGGTTTAAATATTCCATGTGCCTACAGCGGCTCAATTATAAGTTTATCAAGCGACGAGACTACTTTTTGTGCGAAAAAAACATAAATAACGACTTTATTCGACTATTCCATTACTTCCCTATGGGCGCATGCGCGAGAACTGAGACGAGGACGTTCTCATTCTTCTACTTCTTGTTACCGGCTGCTCACCGCTTAGGAGTTTTACCGCCCCTACCGTATAAAATGATGTGCTGATATAGCTGGAAGCGCAAAACTTTCTGTTTACAAGCAGAGGAAGATGCGCGCTGTTCATACGCTTTTCAATTTGCGTATTTTCCACACTACAAGGTGCACTTAAAAGCCTTTAATCTTCTCAAAAAACGACAGTGTTCCTTATAATCCGGAGCGCCTTATATATGAATCATCATTTTATACGGTAGGGGGCGGTAAAACTCCTAAGCCGTGAGCAGCCGGTAACAAGAAGTAGACGAATGAGAACGTCCTCGTCTCAGTTCTCGCGCATGCGCCCATAAGGAAGTAATGGAATAGTGGAATAAAGTCGTTATTTATGTTTTTTTCGCACAAAAAGTAGTCTCGTCGCTTGATAAACTTATAATTGAGCTATATTTGAAAAATTGGAATATTTAAACCTTTTCTTTAATGACTTTATGGGCCGTCAAGAGCCAGTCCCTTAGGCAGTCTATGTAGGACTGATCCAGCTCTCAGATTCAATCAAAAATATCTTTATTTGTGTTCCGAAGATGAACGAAGGTCTTACGGGGTTGGAACAGCATGGGGGTGAGTAATTAATGACTTAATTTTCATTTTTGGGTGAACCAACCCTTTAAGGCAGTTCTGAAGGCGAAAGGGGGTCAAACACAGTATTAGTATGCTGTTCCTAATAATCCTTTAGGTGAGTGTATGTCCGTGTAAAAATACAGGTGTAATCTTAATGTGGCAACAGCATCTTTTTTCTCGAGTCGGAGGTGGTAAAACACTCTGCCAGACTAAGTCCACCCGCAAATTATGATTTCAGGCCATTTGCTACCTTGCCAATTATCATCAAAACGTCTATGGGAAAGCATGCCAAGTGTATCCGAGGTTCCTCATGAACGTTTGAGCTGGACATCTCCCTGACGGACTACATGCTCCCTCTCAGATCGCTTCACAGGAAAATGAGACCGATAGTGACAAATCTGTGCCAAGATCACTGTGGCTTACAAAAATATGATGTTGTCTTCCCTTGAAAAACTTGCCTCTACAAGATCTTATAAATAAAAATGAGCCGTGATCAAAACCTGATTTATATCAGCCTCTCTGAAAAAGCCTCGCGGAGAGGTAGAATAGCCCTGATTGCATTTGCTTCGAATCGAGGCTGACTTGTTACAAACTTTTCAAAGTCAAGTGCTTCATTCAGCACCGGGAATGCGACATTAATTTTGGATTTACATATTACCTCCAGTCTTTTGATCCAAAACCAGACTTCTGTTCTGCCATAACAAGAAAATACTGTTAAAGCAAAACAATGCAAATAAAAATGAGGCGAAATATCATTATTTTGACGCTCTTCAGACTCCAACATGTGCCATTCGACTCTGATCTTGGAAACTCCAACACTTTTCTTGCCTTCAGCCACCATTAATGCTTATATAGGGTTTGGATGAATTCTAGAAAGGCATTCTGATAGGCTAATTACAGCTCAGAAAGCCAATTCCCCCTCTCTTCATAGCATCTAACCCACTCGAGTCAGGGAAAAGGTGTAGGAAATAGAGCCCATCAGCGACTTCAAAGTGAATTTAAATAGCTCCATCAATACTTCTATTCAAACTCACTCTGGAAGTACTCGTGTACAGACATCTCTATTGGTTTGTCTCTTTACGTGTTGAGCTATGAGGAGGTAAAACAGTATTTTCAGGAACAACAACAGCCATCATCAGAGGAGAAAAGGAAGCTGAAGAATCTGGGCCAGCTGTGTGAGACGCAGTACCAGTGGATTCATGCCGACTCCTGGTTGCCAAAAACAGAATTACACGGTCACACACACACAGAAAAAAAATGCATTTGGATACTATGCAGATGGTGTATCTTAAAGGGGTGGTTGATTATGATTTCACTTTTCTAATTTTAGATGGTGTGTAATGTTGCTGTTTGAGCATAAACAACATCTGCAAAGTTACAACGCTCAGTTCAAAACAAAGGAGATATTTGCTTTTAAGGAAATCGTTTTTAAGGACTACAACAAACGGCTGGTAGGGACTACACAAGCTTCCTCCCAGGTTAGTGACATCACAACTCTACAATTTAAATAAACCCCGCCCCTGGGAACACGCAGTCTATGTTAAGAAGAGGAAGAGTTGTTGTAGAAGAGCACATTTGTGAGTCAGCTCAAACTTTAGTATCTGTCTTTTCACATGCGATAGAAAGTCACTCTGTGAGACAGTTCCTATGTGAGCGATTTAAAGATTATCCTGACAGAATATGCTAATTCAAGATAGTTACGCCGCCTTCACACTGGCAGTTGAAATCAGCTCCGATGCGGCTGCGAAACGACTGGAAGTCATTCATTTCCTATGGAGATTTGCAGACCGCATGCGAATGGGTCCGAAACGGGTCCGACCAAGTGCGGTGCGAAGAAAATCGTGTCCGTTGGTCATCCGGATGCGTTCAAAAATTTGAACTCGTGCGAAAAGCTACGGACTGTTCCTATCCGACAATTCCAGCGGAAGTTGAGCGTTGCTATGGTACTGATAAACAAACCTGAATTATTAACTTTTAATAAAATAAATAATGATTTTATAACGATAAATTGTCACGTCATTTTTTATTTTCATGACTTTCTAATGTTTATAAGGGCAGTTAATACAATTAAATATCGACCACTATATCACATTTTTTAGCCGACCTGACATGTCAACGTCCTGAGCAACTTTCCTCACGCAGCATAACCCTCATCAGAGAGATCATACAGAACTGACAGAATCAAACTTTAATCTCTCCGCCATTTTTGTTCTACCCGCGTCCGGCGCTTTTCACTGTGTAGTACGACGTCCGTTGGGAACGTATTGCGTATTACGGAGCTGATTTCTGAAGCTCCACATCAGCAACATAAATTCCTCAACTAACCATTCAGAGATGTCCTGTTGCTTCTACATGTCACTTCTTCTTAGTCTCTCCATCTTTTTCTGACTCCGGTTTACACATAAAAAAAGCAGAACAGTTTATGATATTTTAGCGTGTGTCTGCGTGAGGTAATCAGAGCTGCTAACGCACAAGCTCTGGAAGCCCCGCCCACTGTGTCGGGAGCTGCAGCTCATTTGGATTTAAAGGGCCAGACACAAAACGGTGCGTTTTTGCTAACCGTCAAAAAGTGACTTTCACATGCTAGATACAAATATCTGTGGGGTATTTTGAGCTAAAACTTCACATACACTTGTGAAAAGGGCATAACACCCCTTAAGGGTAGAAACAACAGTAAACAGAAACAGCCATAGTTTTTAAATCTTATCTGGAGATAAGAACAATAATGCAGTATTACCGTGTGTGGTGATGCAAAATGGCAGCTTCACCCTGCAGATATGTTGACAACATTTCCAAACATGACACCAGTGAGTAGCATCTTTTCTTCTGTACCTGGACAGTGATGGATGATTCATTAGGTTCATTTTGAGGCGACATTTTCATGGCAACAGTAGATTCCCACCTGGTTAAAGACAAACTTTAACTTTGTGTGAATCTGTGCACACGGATATAAAAGTGTGGCGGCGGGCCAGCCGTAAAGTCGTTGCGAGGACAGATTTTACAGTGAACAGCTGTGGGGCTTTGCAGTAAAGTTTCTCACTGCCTCCCACACAGTGCATAAA